TCTGTCAATTTTCCTCAAAGGTACACCACCTCCTCGGTCACTCATCTTCACAGTCAAATCCTCATTACCCAGTGTGACATGAACTTGAATCGGGGGGTAAACACCTTGGTCAGCATGGTATTCCATGGTTGCTCTCATTGCATTCTTGAAAAGTTCAAACACCATGTGATAGAGATGGGATGGTACATAAACCACTTGTATTGGCTGTCCTGGTGATTTTGCATTTAGTTCTCCAAGTTCTAGTTCAGGAGAGTTAACATAATATAAATCACAAAGACGCCTAGCATTTTCATAGCCATCTTTAATAACTTCAACTACGTTGCAGTTTGGATTTATGCTTCCAATGTGTTTTCGATGAGAGGGACTTCCTTTGTCTTTTCCACCAAATAATAAAGAGTGCTGATTGAGTAACATTCTAATTGAAATGCGACTCATGTAGAATCGATCCAAAAAGTACTGAACATTCTGGCTGGTGACGGGATCCACCCCGAAGCTCTCCTTGTATTCAATCACACCCTGGGCCATTGTGGGAATGACATCATTGTGTCGGTTCCTGATCCGTATCACGGTATCTGTAAAGTCATAAACTGCTTTAGCATCCTCAGCACTTTTGTCCTTAAAATCAAGAAGCTCCTGAAGACTCTGGATATACCAGCTTTGTACCAACTGAACGGATGGCGTCCTGAGAAGATTATCTGGAAGGAGGCTTATTTCTTTCATTATATTTGCCAATCTGACAGGCAACTCTTGCCGCAGAAACATAAATGAAGTCTTTTCACAAGCATCCACCGATCCGAAGTCCAGGAACTGCTTCATGGAGAGCGGGGACGGCGAGAAGCGCGCGTAGGGACTGGTATTGTTTTTATAGCTCCTGTCCTCTAGGAGACATAATTTAATACATTTTAGTATGGCACAGAATAAACTATAGTACGCGTGATGTCAGAGAAAGCGTGAAGGGGATAGGTCAGTTTGAAGTGGATTTCATGGGTGCCATAGAAGAGGATGCAGATACAGTAAAGCATGAAGAAATAGAGGGGAAAGTACAGACTGTACACCCAGTGGTGGGTAAGGCCCTGTACATTTGCTGGGACCTGATAAAGGGGGAAAGCCAATTTAGTACTTGCTGGAATTTCAGCTGGGGGCACAGGCTCCTACCAATGCCCAGGTGCACTTCCACCATGACTGTCGTATAAGGCAATGGTGTGGAAAACACGGGCAATAAACGAGTCAGATGGGTCAATAACACTTGTTGCCCTGTGGCCCAGTTCTTCCAGAAGTGAGTTCATTCTATTTTAGCATAACGTTACTATTAGTACTTGAAAAAATGTTTACAAGTTGAGTGAATTTAATTGTGCATGATCCATAATACTTTGTAATCTTTATTGTACCTTTTTTAAAGAGAGCTAAAAGTACTTTGCAGATGTTATCTCATTAATCTACCCCAAATCCCTATGAGCCAGGTAGTATAAGTATTCATAACCCAGTTTTGCAGATAAGGAAATAGGCAGAGTAGTGAAAAATGACTAAGCCAAGATTACAGAGCAAATAAAGAATTGAGCGAACCGAAGGGCCCTGGTGGTCGCTCTGCTCAGGAGACCACACCACCTTACACCAGGCTTTCTGCTCAGGCCCCAGGGCTATAGGAGCTACAAGATGTTTAGTAGCAGAAGGGCAGACAAACCCAGAATCTCTGCTTTTTGTGTTATTTTAGTGCACCTTGTGCATACATATTTAATCACACGGCTATGCAAATTTTTTAAAAATCTTAAGTCCTGGCAGTTCGTTCTGCGAAGTAGTTGCTAAAGCAAATGTTTCAGAAGTCTGAAAAGGCTAATATGCAGAAGGCTGATAACAACTTGTGACCCAAACTCCCAAAGAATTGCCTTGGATACAGTCATAACCTGCCTACCTGGTGCTTTGCTACAGTATATGCAATTCCCTCTTAGGTTACACCTTGGTATGGGAGAGAGGAGGGCAAGCCGGTGGGGAATCTATTCCTGCACATCTGTGCTTTTCTGAGTAGAGTGCCCATGTGACTCACTCAAGTACCCAAACAATGTTGTGGGCTGCTGTGGTAGAAAGGAGAAGAAGCTCCCAATCTGCAGGACTGGCCTCTAAACAGTTTGAAATTTCTCCAAGGTTACAACTGAAAGGAATGTTTATGAAGACACACTTTCATCAACTTCATAACAAAAATGACAATAGTTAAAGTTCACAAGCTAAGTGTGGTGGGAACAGAAATATTCATCAAATTCTAACCAGCTAGTACTGTGCCAATGTTAAGTGATTTTTGCATGCCAACATGACCAAGGAACCATGGTGATATATATCTCTTCATTTTTCTGGAGAAAAAAATACCCTTCATTTCCTCCAAGTAATAACACTCCTTCAGACTTAATGATTCAACAACACTTATTTTCATGGGACAGAGCCTCAGATTTCAATATGTCATGAATTTGGATTCAGAGAATATGATGTAATATAAGATTTAAAAGAAAAAAAAACAAAATTCAAAATCAGCCCCCCTAAAGACTCTGACTTTTAAAGAGAAAGCATGACTTTAAGATCTTTGCCAAATGCTACTTAAAAAATGTTTTTAGAGATTTAGAAATGGGGCATACTTTTTATTTTTGAAAATTTTCCTCATGGAGGAAAAAAAATCAGAAATGTCAGGATCTCGGTCATTTAGTGTGAAATCATTTAAGCAAGAGACTGTGCACTTTCTGAGGCATGGGATTGTCCATAGACTCAGAGAATTCCTTTTCATCAACCTGCTGATGTTTACAAATGTTAGCTGAGTAAAAGTTATTGCAGGCAGAATGCTGAATCATTTCACTTGACTGGTTTCTTGTCTCTCTCCAACATAGTTATGCACATAAACTCTTTTCTTCCTACATAGTATTTTTGTTTGTTTAGGCAGAAACTAAAATACATCTTCTAGCCCACTATAGCATAAGTTACAATATGTTTGCAAAGTAATACTGAAGCCTTTGAAATCAAGTATAAACACACACACATACATACACACATGTACGTATATGAATATACATATGTACATTCATGCACTACAAAATACACAGGACTGCATCATAATATGATCATATAGACGTACCTCAAGAATGGCACCATTGGGGATCCTCAGAAAATGGCGGTACAGCTCTTGGAACCCACTGGGATAGACTGTGTACACAGCCACATGAGAGGTAGTATCTCCTGGACCAAGTGCAGACACAGATCTTTCATTTTGATGTTGGAGGTCACAGCTGGAGACACTGGACTTGATGTCATGGCTTTTCCAGATGTAATCATACACTGCCACCTAGTGAGACACAGCCCCCACCCAACCCAGCCCCCCAGCCCCAGAAAAAAAAAAATAACAGAAAAAAATTAATTAACTTCTGGCAACAGCATAACCAATTTTAAATGATTTTACAATAAATCTGAAAGTCTCTGCCATCTGCAGTGCTTGCACTCCATTCCATGCATATTTTTATGGCATATATCTAAATAGTGAAGATAGACAAATCCCCGGTGTGTGCTCCATAAAGTTAATTCTACACAGATGAAGCTGTAATTGGCTCCCATATTAACCCAAAGTAGGAAGATCAAGCAGGCTGTGACAATGACAGTGTTGATTAAAAAAAAAAAAATGCTTACGAATGGTTTTATGAATGGGTGTTTGTGCTTTCTCATCCAAAATAAACCTTTGTTCTTTTTTACTTACTTGTGCTGTGCTAAGCGCTAAGTCTCTGGCATCACTATTACAGTGGACAAGGGACATTAAAGACCCATTTTTAACGAGGTGCACAGGGCAGGGTTTTTGCATACTGCACGTATTTACCTATTATTTTTCCTTCATGGCAATCCTGACTTTGGTATTAATACTTACTGGACTTTATTTTCTTGTAGGATTTCTCAGGTAACAATTTCATTGTCTAATACAGTGCAGCCTGTGGGGCTTTCATTAATGTTAATTGATTTATGAATGAGTTCAAAAGACATAGTTCTAGTGCTTATTTAAAATTTGGGCAATGAAGATTAGACTATAATACTTTGAGGCTGCAAGCCGTCTGGTATCCATATATCCGTGTTATCTTTTTCTACTACTGCCAAGCTATATAGATGCTTTCCAAAATTTCCAATTTCCATATTCACAGATGCCAATGGTTTCAGAAGTAGACAGAGGAAAGTTTTCAATGGATTTCTTTCCTCGTTGGCTCTTTCTAAGGCAGAAAACAATCATCTGTTGTTGTAGAAAGCCCATATCAAACGTGTGTTCCAAAACTAACTCCCCCAAGATGATTTACAAACAACTTATTTATTTATTTATTATTTTCATTTTTTTATTTCAGAATATTACAGGAGTACAAATGTTTAGGTTACATATGTTGCCTTTGCTCCACCTGAGTCAGAGCTTCAAGCGTGTCCATCCCCCAGACAGTGTGCACCGCACCCATTGGGTGTGAATATACCCATCCTCTCCTCCCCCCACCATCTGCCCAACACCTGATGAATCTTATTACTATATGTGCACTTAAGTGTTGATCAGTTAACACCAGTTTGATGGTGAGTACAATGTGGTGCTTGTTTGATCCAGCAATCCTATTACTTGACATCTACGGAGAAGTACAAATAACTTAATCTTGGAAATATTGAAAGATTTAATAATATGAAAGATAATTCTGGCCAATTACGATTTAGTTCAAGTCTATAATCGATAGTAAACTCCCAAGATTCTAGTGATTTTTTTTTTAAATAAAAAGATGTAATTAAAATCCAGATGGGGATAGAAAAACAAGTTGTAAATGTCTTGATAGGGCTGTAAGAAGAGGAAAGCCCAAGTTCTATTGTGATTAGAAACAGGTTTCATGAGGATGCATTCTATGATAGGTTTTTGAGACAATATAAACTGCTTCAGGAACTAAAAGCCGAGCATAAATTCACAGGAAGAGACTGGTATATATTTAACCTAAAACAAGTTTGACTGTGACGATTGTGCTGAAGGAACTTGATCAAGGAGGTGAGGTCCAAGCGGGGTCTCACAGTTTCAGTGGGGTTTCAGTGGGTATGAAAAGTGCCCCGGGTGCTTCCAGCAGAGGAGATCCCGCGGAGCCACTGAGATGCAGGAACCCACGGCAGATCCCAGGACCAGTGAATGGCCCCTTGGACTGGATGGTGGGAGGAGTTTGGGGACAAGGACATGTGGCTGGAGAGTCACTTGGCACTGTGAAGACTCTGATGCTAAGACACTCTGAATGTGGTTCACAAACGGGGGAAGCTGCTGGAAGTTATGGAGCAGAAAAGAGGTTTGTCCTGACACGTGTTTTACAGTCATAGGCCGAAGACAGCGTGGAGAGCAGACCAGAAGGATGAGAGTTTAGAAACCATCTCGCCAAATGTGGACAAATGAGACTCTGTTTAAGTTTGGGCACTGACAACACAACTAGGGTGGAGTCCAAGTCCACGATTTCTTTTTCGGAGGAAGAAGCAGCAGAGTTGGGGATGCTACCTAGATCTGAGGTGCCAGTGAAAGACATCTCAAAGATGACAACAAGCCTGAGCCACCAGAGACCAGTGATGCCATGGAAACGGGGCTGTCGCAAGCAGGCAGGGCAGGTCTCGGCAATGAGCATCGGATATGTCTAAAGAAAAAATTCATTAAACTATGTCAAAACTGCTGTAACCACTATGGTAACATAAATCGAATTACGTAATTAATTCTTACTCTGCATGACAACCTGGTGAGGACATTAAGCAGCACCCGCCTCTCCAGGTGCAGATGGTGATGACCTGCCCCTCAGGCCTGCAAGGAGTCTGTGCACGGAAGCACGATCCAAACGG